AAAGTATCCAGTGACATTGTGATGAAAGCAAATTAAGTGTGGGTGAAATGGTGTGACACTTTGCTGCTGAAAAATCATACTCAAAGTAATTATCAATGCTACTCATCCAGTTCACAGTAAGTATTGTGTTGAATGCTACAAAATTCACTCCTGGATACTGTACTTTTCAATGTTTTTATTAAGAAAATAAAGGGAATTTACAAATTACACAAAATTGGATGAGCTGCCACAGAAGGCAGAAATAATATTCTAAATTATCTTGATAAGATTTTGTTTTGGAATAACTATAACTGTTACATCATTTTTTTCTCATTCACTCACCCCCCCCCCCATTTATTTCTGTCCTTGCATGCCATGATTTTTAATCAGGGTTTGAATTTTTGGGGCATATTAGTTTCCCAACCCACAGTCTTACTGTTTTCATAGCACTTTCCCTATCTGGTAAATATTAACAATCCCATTTCCATTTTTGGCCATGTCTTCATTATACTTAATTGAGGTAGTGTATTGTACTATATAGTGGGGAATTTGTACACTAATCATATGATTTTCCTTCAGTAATAAATATTTGTGTGTTAAAAATAAATGTCTTCTTTCTGAACTGAATTGCTTTTTACCCATTTGGTTGAAGGGCAGTACATAAATATGTTGTGTGAACTCTTATATATGAAAAAAAAATCCATCTGATCCTGCCTCTGTCATGAAGCATATATTCAAGAACATTTATGTGCAGAGGAAATGTAAACAGCTTACCAGCTGAATCTAAGTGCAACTCCATTATTCTTATCTGCTAGCAATTTGTGTTTTACTGCCATCGATGCTCTTACATACATCTGATGTAAAATCAAATAAAATCTTACATAAATGATGCTCTTACACAAGTTAGCATCATCATATAGTCCAAGTTGGTTACTTCACATCTTGTGGCAATGTGGAAGTTTAATTACATGCTGTGAGTTAAAATACTTATCTTTCTGCGGTGCTGTTAAGCTTCCTTGGGTAAATTCTGTATGAGGGAAAAAAACCATCTCCCACTCCTTTGGTGTGAATTGTCTAGATGCAATTCTCAAGGTTCACACACTGCCATCCTCTTTACATCTAATCAGAATTTAAATGCTATGGAGTTCAAAAAGATCTACTCTCCAGTGTTTTATTAGATTACTAATCTGATAGGCAATATGATACACTATTCTGAATATTGGTTATGCATACGCGGGGCGGGGGAGTGAGGAAATACAGTACTACTGAATACAGTAAGACTCGGGCTACGAGTTTCCCTTAATGACTGTCTAAGCATTTCCCCACCGCCGTAATCGATGGCTGTTTACTTATGGGAGTCGTCTTTTCCAAAAAAGCGTTCCACTCTCTTTTCTATATGGGTTACTTCTGGCCCTTTTACAGATGTTCCGAAGAAATCCCGAAGTCGCCCACCGTTTCACCTTTCCAACTAATTCATGAATCACCGTCAGAGGAGGAAGAAAGCGCAGAGCCGGAAGTTCTTCTCCGCGCTCTCATTGGGTCTTTCCTTTATCAATCAGGAACTGGAGGACCAACATATTCCCAATGCTGCCCTACACATTTTTTTTTTTAAAGTTGGGAGGGGGAGGAAAGGGAGTTCTGTGGCCTGATTGTCCTTTCCCTACTCGAGGTCTAGCTTCTTTGTCAATGTGTGTCCTTTCGGCGTCTTTATTTCAATCATCAATCCCTCCCCAGCCGCGTGCCTCCCATCGCGCGCTCATGTTTGATTGGGCAACATCTGGTAACTGAACCCTAATACCGTTAGAATGGGGGGGGCGGGGAGGGAAGAAGGGCCGGCGCGAGCCGTGTCCAGTACGCAGGCGGCGTGCGGATTTCTTACCAGGGTATTCCGAACGGCGAGGAC